ACATTTGATCTGCATCGACCAGGGCACACGAAGGGTCGCCGCCCGTCCTGGAAAGGAAGATGCAAATAGCGTAATACGTTTTTTGGAGTGGGATGCATTAAAAAATGGGAGGACCGTCATTTTCGACAACGGACCTAGCTGCCTTTGTAAGCGAACGCCTCTGGGACTGGGGTCTACAGCGCAGAATCACCTTGCAACGGTCATCTTCATACCATCCACCAGCTAATGGCATGGCAAAGAGGGTCATCCAAGACCTCCAACAATACGCAATGATGTATCCAACCTTCAAAGGCGTATGGAAACGTTGCCTCACGGTAGAATTGGCTCATCACAACGTTCGCGTACTGCCGCTCCTGGGTACAATCCATATTCTGCTGTCTTTGAAGACGCTCCTAGATTGCCAGGGGACCAGCAGCTGGGAATTTCGGAGAAACTGGAGCTGAGGGAACGAAGGAAAACAGCAGACAATAGGTTCAAGTATCGAGGCAGCATGAAGAAAAACTTCAGGGCTCGCCATGGCAGCCAGAGACCCAACGTGCAGCTGAATGACTTGGTCTTAGTTTGTAAAGGCCTCCTAGGGACAAACTCCAACCTCCTTGGCCCTTTCGCGTTGTCAAGATGTCCAGCCAGCAAGGCATTTTGAAGACGATTGGATATCGAAATAGTGATGCCAACTCAAGTTTGCCACAATTGGCAATATTTTACTTTATCATCCCAGGAGGTATGAGTCTCAAAGAGTGGAGTGGAAGGAGACCGAAGAAGACAAGGACTGAAGTGTGAGAAGAAGGGAAGGAAGTGGATGTAAAATAAAACCAAAAGATGGTGACCATTCTTTTATAATGTAGCTCCTGAGTTCTTATGTCTTAGAACACTACCTACATGACTTTTCTTGTTCTTGAGTGTAATGGTCACTTATTTGCTATCTCAAATATCAGCATCCTATCCCTTGTGTAATGCAAAGTTGCAGTGATGTGATTGCTGCGCCACTTACGCCAAACTGCGCCAAGGGGCCAACCCTGCCACATCCTGCTATATTTCGCCGAAATAAGAGCAATCTGCGCCAAGCCTGTGCCAAAGGACCAATTTTGGTGGCTTTTCGAAACCGAAACTAAACTGAGTACCATAAGTGAGCATGCAGGAGCTAAGTGGCGCAAGCGGCCGCCCGACACAAAGTACCCTGCATCAATGGTCCATTCGGTCTTGCATGATTTTTCCCGCAGTCTCTCGTTTCTCGCGCTATTAAGTCTCGTCTCGCGTCTTTTTAAATTTTGTTTTTCAAAGATAGACGCGGTCATGTGTGGATGTTCCGACAGTGGCGTACCGGGTACCAGGCCAGCCATGCCATCATACTGTGAAACGAAACCGCGTTTTTGCGCGGTGGGAGTTACTTTGTGAGCTGAAGCACTCGCTCCTCAAAACAACGGCCGATGGAAAACTATATTTTGTGTCTGCCTGCCAGTCACCGTGGTGGCGCAACGTCGGGCGTTGCCATCCCCACGTCGCTGCAGATGTGGCGCTTTCTAAACTGAAATTTAAGGACTGCCGCATGTTCGTGGCATGTTCACCGAAATTCCTGTGCATTTTTAAATCGTACGCTACTACAAAAATCCCTCTTTAACTCAGTTTTCTCTGTCGAAGTATTGATTACCTAGGTTTCTCTTGGTGGGTTTTTTTTCGAGAGGGACCCCGATACATAAAAAATCTCCCACAGAAGAAAGTGAGTGGGGAGAAGTGATCTAAAGCAAAGAAGGCAGTGTATGCACGCTGAACTCGCAGAACGTGCCTGTTTGTCTCGAGTTCAGTCGTTGCACAAAGCGCTCAAGAGCTTTTTGACCCTTACTTGCGATGTCTTGCATCGATGCGCTCAGGTTCTCTTTTTTTGTGTGTGTTTAGTATGTACCTTGTTTGCCTGCCTATCAAGCACGTGCCGCTGGACGTTTTTGTTGTATCTTGGACAGTTACATTTTGCATACAGTTTTGGGAACCAGTTGGCACGGAAGCGGAGTAGCATGGTTTCGGTCGAACAGCTATCTCCGCTCACGCGACGAAGCACGTGCAACTGCAAGCCTGCCGAAGTTGCCCTCAGGTGCATGCGAATATGATTGCACGACAGAGGCACCTGCTGGGACGCTTGCAATCCATTGTTTTACGTTTGCTTACTTTTGACGAAAATCTGGCACGTAGGGAACCAGTGAAACGGCGGCAAGCGGTTTTTCGAAATCGCTCGGCAACGCCTACAGCATTGTACACTTATGGGATGTCTCAATGTCTCTTTGAAGACATTGCAAGTTGACATTCATTTCTAGCCGAAGGCAGAGCGAGGCTTGGAGCAGCCTTTCAGAAAGTTTCGAAAAGCGAAATGAAAAGCACGCTCTAAGACTCGTAATGAACCTTTGTCTTGTGTACAATTTCGCATTGTTCTGCAGTAGTTAATCAGTCGGAGACTGCTTCCATTCGTTATATTATATAACTAGTCAACCTACTGCTGTGATATTTACTAGTAAGCTGATCATTTTCAAATAAATTTTTTTATGTGCAGTTTGGTTCTTATTTATCTCCAGCGGTTACATATATCTGTATAATTTACCTGAAGCACTGCAAAATGTGTAATGTCATTGGCATTTCAGTTACACGTTGAAAGACTCCCAGGTGGTCTAGCTTGACCATAGTTTGCTTATTGCGGCGAGCAAAGTGCCCTTTGTTTGTCCAGCACTTGAAACAAATATTTTTATTTTTCTAAGAATACCTGCTCCAAAAGTCACTTCTGCTGCTCTGAAACACAGTTTTGGCTGCTCCAAAAGCCACTTTTGCTGCTCCAAAACACTGTCTTGGCTGCTGCAAAGGCCACTTTTGCTGCTCCAAAACACTGTTTTGGCTGCTCCGAAAGGTGCTCCAAAACGGGTTAGACCAATCACATCACCGCAGTTGTGAAACCTTCAAGATAATAGTGAAAAAAGATATTATGTAAGGCCTGTTTACACATACAACCACAGCTCTACATCAGGGCTATTAGTCAAGAGCTGGGAATAATGCTTCTCTTGTTTATGCAGTGCTGACATTGTGCTTTGTGTCCTACACCAGTGATACAGTGGTGAATTAGTGCTAAATTAGGTTCATCAGCTCTGTGCTGTACATGTGTACCAGCCTCTAAAAAAAAAATTTTTTTTGTTCATGTTAAATTTGTTTTTTACCTGCGTGTCCCTCCTACATTTTCTTTTTTGAGGTTTTTTTTAAGTTAAAAAATAAAAAAAGTGTGCGAGGAAAGATGGTCACACTTTGCAGAGAAGCACTGGTATATGCGTGGTAAGACACGATTACACGACTGGGGGCTTCTACTTTTTTGTGGCTTGTACGTTTTGAGTTTCCTTTGCCCGAAGAATGTTTTCCACTCTTTTCGTACCAGACAAGAACACACTTTCCCAAGGCAATTGATGCCCCTACATTCTTTATTTTTTGTAGGGACAGCAGGTTCGGTGACGCAGAACACTCTAAACCAATGTCTGATAAGACTCAGGTCTGAGTGTAAAGAAATATTTTCTCCCAAATTGGCACTCGTTTTCTGAGAGAGTAATTTTTTCCTGCCAAACATTCTATAATGCACTTTGTAGAATCACTCACTTATTCCCTTCGCTCTGCGATAACACACGCTTGAGGGCCGGCTCGACAAAAATTTAGATCCGGACCCACGGATATCCGCGCCTGTAGCCCATGACATCTGCATCCATCCGCCAAATCTATTTTATTTTTATCCGCACCTGCCAGTTCACTGGGCATAACCGTGGGTAGTTCTTGGGCATTTGGCGAATCCGCAGTGCTTTACTCATGAAACTTCAGTACCCCCTCCCTCCCCCTTGGAAGTTTAGACCGTATGCAGTGGAACATTCATTATACAACATTTACGGGGACGCGCGAAAATGTCATATAATGAACCCGGAGTCGTATTACCCAAAAAGGCGATAATTACAGCACTTTGACAAACCTGCGCTAATTTATAGTAAAATGCAGGACGTTGCCTAAACTGGAAATGCATAATCAAGGTTCCACTCGATATGCAGTTTTATGGGCAATTTTATTTTGCCTATTACTGGTGCGATGACTTACACCAGAACATGCACCCATACTGTAAGTGGAAAGTAGCGTTATTATTACACAGCGTACTGTGCTAATTAATATTGGGAGGGGTGAGTGGGGACGTAAATTATTTTTGGCTGTGCTACTGTACCTCTTTACAAGATATAGTGTGCCTTGTGTGAACTTCCAGAAAATGGGTCTATTGATGCAGCAATGCAATTGGAACCATTCAATATTTTTTGGTGTTATAGGTACTAAATCTGTTTATGTTATGCCTCTGTGGTTGCAGCCTGTAGATTGGGGTCGATGCAAGCTGAGTGATATAGCCCTCAATATGATGGAGATTCAAGTTTTAGGGCTGTAGGCTGTGGAATAAGCGTTGCCAAAAAACCTCGTAAGAGGAAAATGACTTTAGTGTTGACAAGGAGGCTGTCATGTTACTAACATGCTGCACAATGATACGTAAGGTGGAGCAAGCTGCTTGGCTCGGACAACCTGAAATTGTGCAATGTCTCTTAAGAGTGAGCTCCTGTGATTAATTTCAACCAGACAAGACATATATATGTACCTAGCAGAGCTTGCATTGAAGTTTGCCACTTGACAGAGGCACGTGATTGTTTGATTATGTCGTTTGCACGGAAATTGACTGAATATCATATTCAATCTTGGTTCGTACATAACATGCTTAAGTGCATGAAGCAAGTGATAGATGTAAGGGACATACTTTAAACCTACTTTAGGTGGACAACATCTCTGTACAGCATTTGCTCTCTTCCCCATGTTACAACTAATGCAGAGTATATAGAATGTGCAGTAAAGCACAGTTACATTGATATTCTTGACAGGCATTAGATACCCAGAGGTTTGATTTTTTTCTTTGGTGTTCTGCGTGCAGGCAATTAATTGTGTGTTTGTTCGTTTTTTTCTAGTAGCCGTGGTCGCAAGGCACCCATGACATTGAAGTCTTCCGAGCAAGGCACTATGAAGGCATGGCTTATAGCGGCACCGGAGCAAGCGACACGGTGCGGGTGAGCTGCAAGTGTAACTGTTACACCGTAAACAGGAAATATAGACATGTGTCCGACAAAGCACAGACTCGTAAAACTTTCATGTAGCAATAATAGTTTAATTTAACTAAACAGTGCATCAACAGAACCTGACCCAAGAATGGGGAATTGGGGAACCGTCCAGTGTGTAGAGTCTAACAGAAACAAGGAAGGCGATAAAAACAAATGGGGGCAACATGTTAAGATAGGAAAATAATGTCGTGCCTATTTTTGTTTTCAATTAAGATTTTATAGGAGATAGCAAAATATGTCCTTGCAATGGAATGGACCTACTTTTACAAAAAGACCTTCCATGTTTTTGGTAAAATAAATTGCGTCTTAGGAGGTGGAATTATGATTTTCCCAATTGCTCATAGACATATCTTCGAGCTCCACAGGGTAATAAAACTTCCCGAAACATAAATATTTTTATGCGTGCTCAGAAGTTTTTTTTTTAAATATAGAAAAAGTCAAACAATTTTTTTGTGACAATTAAAGAAAATTGTCGTCCTCAAATTTTTTTTTTCGTTAATGAACACTTAGAAATATGTAATTCAGAATCCACCACCAAGACCTGTTGTATTCTATTGTTCTAAAATAAAGAAATAACGGTTTTGCCAGGTCTGTTGCAGTCAATTTTTGTTGGAGGCACTGTGTCTCAACAACTACTGGTTACTCGAGCACCGTATCCACAGTGGCCATAGTTGGTCGCATTATCTCCCAGGCACCACAAAGCATTATGCAAAAATATGTTTTTTTATTTTATTTTTTTTATCTGTGATGTGCCTGGTAGTGCCTATGAAAACTGAACTTTGTGGTGCATCAGTCCTCCGGGTGCTGTGCTTGGTTGATTGCTCTCAACTGTGCTAATTTCTCGAAGTAGTATTTTAGTGTGTGTAGCGTGTTGACAAAATGATTCAATTAATTTATCTAGATGTCACTATACTCCGTTTGTAAGTGCAATGGATTGTAGCGGCCGTTGCAAGCTGTCTCAGGCAACTTAGCGCATCAAGTGACAACGCATCACAGCGGCCCCTCTCCGAGGTCACGACATTGAGTTGACTTGTGCAGCCTGTAGCGTGGTCTGTGTTGTATTGTAAGGTATAACGAACATGTGAACAGGAAACATTATGAATTTGATGTCCCAATTGATGGCGGACATGGCGAGGGCGAAACAATAGCAGGCTGTGTCTAAAAAGAAAATGATAAATGGACGAAGAAGCAGAAAGCTAGGCAGTGTCATTGGAGCAGCATCATGCCTTTGCGCAAGTGGTGACTCTGGTATTTGTAACGCCATTGCACACTGGCTGATGTTTACACCACACAACTGAAGGCTGAACTCTCATAACACCATGGTATGGGTCATTTCAGATGAGACTGAATAGTGGGTAAATGGTTGACATTTTTTATTTTCTTGATATTTTATATGTCATTCCCTAATTTATAGTATACACCAACTCATATTTACAAACAAACTGGGGCGCCACTGGCGCCACGCATGCGTGATGGAGTGTGGGCAAGAAGCTCGCCGTCGCCCATAAACCATTGGAATGCAATGTTGTCGCCGTCGGTGTGAGTCCCCTGCCCTTTTTCGCGTTTGAATTGTTGATTCTACGTCTTCTTGGCAATGCCTGATTACTTGAGCGGCCTCAGCGAAATTTGCGAGGCTCGTTACACCGCAAAACTTCGCGTGAATAATGTAACATGCGGCGATTCATTCCGTGTGGACGTTGCAGAATGTACGCTAAAGCCTGATTCACATTATGAGATTTCGCTCGCAATTTTCAGTTGCGACTTCGCTCGAGCTGCAACAGCGTGAACTGTAGCTGAGATGGTCGACGCTCATACTGAAAATCGCAAGCAGAATCGGACCAAGCGAATTAGGCATAACAAGTCGGTGATGGCCACTGGTAGCAATGGTCAACATATCTTTGTATCTACCGTTTACATCGAGTCTGCTTACCAACCTTCAATCTTGGGTCTTTTGAGGCCTGCACTTACTTTTTGTCGTAAGCACCGCGCCAGCATTTGGTGTTTGGGCCGGTGTCGTCTAAAAGAGCAGACAAGCAGAATTGTTTGAGACAGTAGATGACAGTTTGAACGGTCAGGCGGCCGTTTGAACTTGAAGACGCACTGAACGTAGTCATTATACAATGGTCGGTACAACTTGACGGTTTTTTGGCATCCTGTTGGAACAAAACAAATAAATCTGATGCGACCAGTATTCTTGAATTCAACGCAAAGTGCTTCCCGCCCAAGCAATTGTGGTCTGACGGCGTCTGGTTTTCCCTTTTCACGGCACATATCCACGTTCTCGGACAAACCGAGCTCATGAAAACTAATTTTCAAACCTTTCTCGACTCTTTTTGTACAGCCCCAGTCGTGACGTTTTGACAAGAAAGGTTTTTGTCAGGTTCCTTTCAAAACAACGCAGGAATACACGTCTCACATGGGGGCCTCCACCCACAGCCCCAGACCGGAAGTGTGCCCGACGAGCCACCACCGCGCTGCGATGTAACAGAGATGAGTTTGCGTATAAAGGAATACAAAAAAAAACAATTTTGCATAAAAAACTAAATATCTAGACACAAAAAAGGGTGTAGATCAGGGGTTCTGAAACTTTTTGGTCTCACGGAACCCCAGGAAGCCACAAAAACTGCCGCGGAACCCTCCCCTTCCCCCCCCCCCCCTCTATATTTGCCGACTGAGAAGCAACAGATGCACAATTGTAGGCAATTTTGCTTGTGTTGCTTCCCATATACCTCCACCATATCAATCGCCATGTCAGTACAAAGTGAGGTGAAGGCGCTTTGCATGGTCCTGCCGCGCAGCATGCGGCGGGGGAGGGGGGTTGCAATTTGGGTGTTCACGGAACCCATGAGACCAGCTCGTGGAACCCCGTGTTCCCCGGAACCCAGTTTGAGAACCCCCGGTGTAGATAATGAAAAGCTAGGTTGTCACTTGCATTCACGAGCACGGCCTATGTGATCAAGTTTGATAATGAATACCTTAAGTAATAGTATTAGTCAATTTTAGACTAGAATACCCAAAAGCCTTGCGTAAGCAAAAATAACGTCGTCACCAGTGCGCATGCGCCTAGACCTTGTATGGATTGGCGGATGACGACGATGCCATTTCTTTGACACGCACAAATTTGGACACATTCTAAAACTTGCAATTAGGAGTTCATTAATTTTGAGAAACAATGTCTGGGTTAGGCAGAGATGCCTTGAGAAGATACGTTCATCATTCATGCTCCTCTTTTTCTTTTTTCATATTGAATACAAAATATTTGCATATAACAAGCAGATTTAAAAATCCCCTTGATTAGAATATCTGCAACAAATTCCTTGTTTAGATGCCGCAGTTTATAAATATGAGTTACGTATTAAAATAAGAGCTTAGGAGAGTACAAATGAAATCTTGGCAGCAACATGCAGGGTTTCTATTTAAGTATGGTACAGTAGTGAAAGGCTTGTAAAAACTATTAACAATATTAAATTGAAAAATATTCAACAAAAAAAAAATATATTCGCTTTAAATTCGTTTTTAACTCAAAATCCACTATACGTCAAACCCGTTTTATATCAAACTCGCAAGAAAACGTCTGCCAGTTCGATATAGCGGGTTATTCAATTAGAAGTATTAATGAATTTGACTCTCAAAAATCCACTTTCTGCTGACATATTACACAATGAAATAGTCTTGCATCTTCTGCTGCTTTTTCTTCATTGCATCCGCGATAACAATATTTTTCTACGCTATCGACGGACTCCAAAATTGAGGCCGCTGCCTCCTATATTCGCACATTAGGGCCGAACTATGCCGAGAGCAGTAGCACCTGCAGAGCTTCCGTTTTGCTTTGCAAGTTGGCTTTCCCCCAAGGAGGAGAACTGCGTTGGAGGAAAGCCAGCTAGCAGAGCAAGCTGGCTTTTTTTCTTCCGGGCGGCCGCCTCAACCTTCTCGGAAGAAAAGATAGTATTTTCTTTTGCAGACGGAGTGGGAAGAGGAACCATGGAGCGCCCTCCCCCTGCTCCCTGCGCAAAAGAGATTTTTTTTTCTTCCGGGCGGTCGACCAACACCTCCCAGAAGAGAAGGCCGTAGCGCTCCTCTCGTGACGTCGCAAATGAAGGCCATCGGGGGTGCACGTCGAAGCGAAGGCAACGGGCGTGGGTCGACTGTCGTAACGCGGTTTTAGTCACGTAAGCGTGATTTATTAGCTAAAATGAAAGCTGCCCATAAGAATGGGTCTAGAAAACATTGTATTTCACGGGCAAAGCATTACATCGCTAAATAATCGGTACCAAATGGCACGAAGTATGCGTATAAGACGCCTATACAAAGTGATTGTTTTAAGTTGAAAACATTGAGTCACGCAATTGTTGTAGGAATGCATAATTTATACAGAAATGCTTCAACAAAATTGTGAGACACGCAGCAAGTGGACACAGCAAAACAGATCAGTTAAAAAAATTGGGTTGTGTGTGTGTTTATACAGCCTAGAACTTGGTCTGCCTCACAGGGGCGACGAGTCTCCCAGCTGTAGATGAGAAATTTAGCCAGTGCGGTACAGCCGCTAGCCTGGGGTCTTTAACGTGCATCACGCAGTAGTGATACACGACCGCACGCCGGTACGATGCTCATCCAGATCGAAACGGGCAGGGGTGGGGCTCGAACCCAGGATCCCTGAGTTCTGCAGCGCGAGCTTTCGCTCCACGTGCTCCGAGCTGGTGTGCGCTAGACCACTCGGCCACCGATCCCCCTAGATCAGTTAAAGATCAGGTAGACGTAGTCAACGCGGACACGGCTAGAGAAGGGTCACTTACAATCATGTAAACAATATAAAACTTCTTTTGTATACAATAATACTATTGCCGTAATACAGTTAAGGTCCTGGTATAGATGCGGTAAAGGCAATAAAATGACATTAGTATCAACAAACACGAAACCACAAAAAATGCACTTTGTATGATCACACAAACTTGTTATTCACCTTCCAGTGAAAACTAGAATGTTGCAACGCATATTTACAAATGTTGACG